TAAAAATAAAAATAAATTAAACTAGACATATCCAATTCCAGCAACCGTTCTTTATGTTTTAGCCTCCAGTTCCCTGATCATCTTTGTTGCTCTTCTCTGTACTCTTTCTAGAGTCTCAACCTCTTTTTTACATCGTGGTGACCCAAACTGGATGCAATATTCCAAGTGTGGCCTTACCAAGGTGTTGTAAAGTGGTATTAAGTGGTATCCCTCTCCTGAGCAAAGGAACACAAACCCTAAAATTGGTCCAAAACCAGACAACACAGAAGCGTTTGTAATTGTGAAAAGAGGGGAACCTGCCCACTACCCTGATGCCACTTTTATAGAAGACGAGTCGGGGAAATCTTAACATTCACAGTGAAGGAATTCATAGAGAGCATTAGGCCCAGTGGACAGTGGCTGAGAATTAACATGGTTTGGGTGACTACCTCAAGGGCAGAATAGGGTGGAGTTTGCACCATCCAGAGATGTCCCATCGCTTCACAGGACAAGAGCTTTGCCTACTGCTGGAACAAAGGATTGGGAGAGGCCATATAGACAGGGGAGACCTCTTAACAGGAATACCTACAATGGAGTGCAATGGTCCTGTCCCCCAGACCCAGCTACTCAGGAACCTATTCTTAGGCCATCTTTTCCAGGATCCTTAGGATCATCAATAGAATATTGGCAGCAGAGGGTAGAACGGTGGGGTCTCTGTTGCTCTCTGAGCTTGGCTGTTTTCTTGTAGACATTTCCTGACCCAACTAGGTGACATCATCAGTGCTAGTAAGGAGTGGGGTTCATGGAGAGGACGACTATGGGATGCTTGGTGCTTTCTGAGTTTAGTTGTTTTCTTGCAAACGTTTCATGACCCAACTAGGGAACATCATCAGTGTTAGAAGGGAGGGGTTTTTTCCTCTCTTTATATACCAGTGGCTTGCCCCATCAGTGTTGGTGGGAGCGCCCTTGATTAGGCTGTTGTTTATTTTTGGATTGTTGTCTGAGTTGGCAATTCCTTCTTTACTTTGCTTCCTTCTAGCACCGATGATGTTACCTAGTTCGGTCATGAAATGATCTGTAAGAGAACCACCAAGCTCAGAGAGCACCAAGGACCCCACAGTCCTCCCCACAAACCCTCCTCCCTTCTAGCACTGATGATGTTACCTAGTTGGGTCACGAAATGTCTGCCAGAGAACAACCAAGCTCAGAGAACACCAAGGACCCCACGGTCCTTGAATTCTGCAACCTATCACCCTCCCAATATGCTGGCACTGGCAAGTTGGTACTAGAGAACTTCGGGTCATCTGAAATGGCTATCCAACCCTTGATGGAACCAAGTGTTTGACGGCTTTCATAGACATCACAGAGGTCTATGGAGATTCTGTCATCCAGGTCATGGCTGTCCCAAAGGTACTTTTTGAAAAGGGACTTCGCTTTGCTTGGAAGGAGTTTCGCTTCTCATCCAAGAAGCTCCTACAGGTCTTCAGAAGAAGCTTCTTGGATGAGACAGGAAACATCTTCCAAGAAAAACAAGAAAGTCCAGTTGCCTCTTGAAAAAGCATCTCTGGGGCACAGGATCATCAGTTTCCAACAGAGGAGGGATGAGACGTACATCATGAAACAACTGCACCCCTTATGTACTTCCACTGTGATGTCACAACTCAATTTTGGCATGGAAGGGACCGTAATAGGGAGGATCCACACTTCCTTCAGTGAGTTGGTAAGATAAAAAGCTGCTTTGGGAATATCTGGACCACTCCATTCCATTCTGGCAAGGTCATTTTAAGGAAAAGGTTGCTCAGTCAAACCAAAGGTCCACCTAGAACCAGGGGTAGGCGACCTTGGCTCTTTTATGACTGGTGGACTTCAATTCCCAGAATTCCTGAGCCAGCCACGCTGAGGGGAAAGGGAGAGGTTTCCAAGCTGAGCCAGGCTGGCTCAGGAATTCTGGGAGTTGAAGTCCACGAGTCATAAAAGAGCCAAGGTTGCCTACCCCTGACCTAGGCCACAGTGACCAAAGAGATGTTTCCAAGAATCCCACTAGCAGATTATGAAGTACAGGTAGTCCTCGACTTAACAACAGTTCATTTAGTGACCGTTCAAAATTACAACAGCACTGAAAAAAAGTGACTTATGACCGTTTTTCACACTGACGACCGTTGCAGCATCCCCACGGTCACGTGATCAGAATTCAGATGTTTGGCAACTGGGTGGTATTTATGACAGTTGCCGCGTCCCGGGGTCAATGTGATTCCCTTTTGCGACCTTCTGACAAGCAAAATCAATGGGGAAGCCAGATTCCCTTAACCACCACTATTGCAGTGATTCGCTTAACACAAGTGGCCAGAAAGGTTGCAAAATGGGACACAAACTCACTCGACCAATCTCTCACTTAACGAATGTCTCACTTTGTAACTGAAATTTTGGCCTGCATTATGGCCATGAAGTCGAGGACTATGTGTAACGTCAAATGAATGAAGAAGGCCTCATCCTGGTTAAGACTCCAAGCCAGGGGTAGGCAACCTTGGCTCTTTTATGACTCGTGGACTTCAACTCCCAGAATTCCTGAGGCAGCATGGCTCAGCTTGGAAACCTCTCCCTTTCCCCTCAGCGTGGCTGGCTCAGGAATTCTGGGAGTTGAAGTCCATGAGTCATAAAAGAGCCAAGGTTGCCTACTTCTGGCTTAGACCAACTCTCTGCTCAAGCAGGAGACCCTATACCATTTCAGACAAATGGTTGTCCAATCTCTTCTTAAAAATTTTCAGAGATAATAATAATAATAATAATAATAATAGAGTTGGAAGGGATCTTGGAGGTCTTCTAGTCCAACCCCCTGCTCAGGCAGGAAACCCTATACCAGGAGTAGGCAACCTTGGCTCTTTTATGACTCGTGGACTTCAACTCCCAGAATTCCTGAGCCAGCATGACTCAGCTTGGAAACCTCTCCCTTTCCCCTCAGCATGGCTGGCTCAGGAATTCTGGGAGTTGAAGTCCACGAGTCATAAAAGAGCCAAGGTTCCCTACCCCTGCTCTAAGCCATGAAGATCATGGACCCTACTACTGGCCAATAGCAGCTAGACAACCTACACAAGACCGTCCTATTATTGACGCAAGACTATCATGCTGCTACAAGTGGACATCTTGTCCACCCACAATACAGACAGTCCAGAGATCAGCCTGCCCAAATCAGGAGAACCACTTACTTCTTGAGATGGAAGACTAGCCATTTTTCTTGGCTGCCCTTTCCCTTATCCTTGTTGTCTAGAAACAGCATAGCTGTTACCTAACCTCTGTTCATCAGTGGGGACTTTTTTTGAAGACATCCCTCGGAGATGTTCTTCAAAGCATTTGGGGTCAAAGGGCTACAGGGGCTGCTGGCGAAGATTAGATACCATCGCTAGGACAGCCCAAACAGTAAACCATTCCAGAGAGCCGTTAAGTCTTAAGCACAATAGAGCAGCGGCTCCGGATGGGAGACTTTTTGAAGCAGAAATCCTGTCCCGGCACTTGTCTCTCTCCTGGCAGTCAACGTGCAATGAAGAACTTGCTGACGTTGACTGCCTCGTGCCTCGCTACTTCCGAAATAGCGGATCACGTGGTAAGTCACATGGATTTCTTGGTACCTGTCGGTTTACCGATGAGAGAGATACATGGACAATGTGACCTACGATGACGGGCAGATCTTTAGACCTGATCGGTATTCAAATTGGCTTTTTCACAGAGCTTCCAGCTCAGAGCCAGTGGTGGGATTCACCCGGCTCACACCAGTTTGGGAGAACTGGTAGCTAACTTTACCTGAATTTGGAGAACCGGCTAGCTTCCAGATGTCCAGTCTAGGCCTCGGAGGCCTGCAGGCGGCCTCCCAGGCCTAGAACAGTACAACGGAAGTGCATGGATACCACTTCTGGAAGTCCGTTCTGGGCCTCGGCGGCCTGGAGGCGGCCTCGGAGAAGTCCTCTCAGGCCTAGAACGGTTCACTGGAAGTGCATGGATACCACTTCCGGAAGTCCGTTCTAGGCCTTGGAGACCTGGAGGAGGCATCAGAGGCCTGGAGGAGTCCTCCCAGCCTAGAACGGCCCTCCGGAAGTGTATGGATGCCGCTTCTGGAAGTCCGTTCTAGGCATCGGAGGCCTAGAGGAGGCCCTCCCAGGCCTAGAACGGCCCACCGGAAGTCCATGGATGCCACTTCCGGAAGTCCATGGATACCACTTTCGGAAGTCCGTTCTAGGCATCGGAGGCCCAGGCCTGCTTCAAATATGAGAACCGGTTGTTAAGGTATTTGAATCCCACCACTGCTCAGAGCCAAGTACCATCAATCTTCTCTTCCCCTTTGAAGAGTTCCCTGCTTCTTCTCAAACTGAGGTGAGGGAACCCTACCTGGCATAAACTGTGAATTGAAAAGGATCCGGGATGCAGAAAACCTGAACGTATTTTTATAACATCTGAACGTTGCTTAATCCCATTACATTAGCCTAACCACAGTTTCCACTCGAACCGTCTTTGAGATCTTTGTGTCTACAAGAACACCATGGAAAGAATTCTTAACGAACATGGAAGGAATTTAAAAATAAAATAAAATAAAAAAAAAAAAATCCGAGAGAGATCAACGTTCCGGAGATAATAATGGGCTTTTGGCCTGTGGTTTCTTCTGCCCCGTTGCCCCAGAGGTCCACCTCCCAATCTGTTGCTGGTTGGTGGCTTCCTTCGGCGTTCTCCATCTCTAGGGTGACCGGCCAGACACCGGTCACCAAAGCTGGTTCGGTCGTGGAAGTAGAAGCCTGAGTTTGGAGTTCTTGGTGGTTGACTGGCGTGGGCCCTTTTCTGAACGAGGAAAAACGGAAGTTGCGGACTGAGCTTCCCAACTGGACAATTGTCTGTGGTCAGAACTCAGCTGGGTTACATCTTCAAGTCTATTTGTTCTGTAAGCTCATTTGGGAGATTTTTTTTTTTTAAAGAAGAAAGGGAGGGGGGAACAAAACACCTGGTCTAGGAAAGTAAACCCCTTCACTTGGCGTCTCCATCAATGGTACGGAAGGGCTTAAGACTCCGAAGATGACCGAGAGACACTCTGGAGCAGAGCTTTGTATATGGCAGAGTTCAGGAAACGGGGGTAGGAGTCTCTGTGCATCAGCGTGTAAATCTGTAGCTGCGCATCGTCGAAGGTGTGCAAGGAGGGCTCCTGCATCTTGCGGTTGATGCCTTCGCGAACGCGGGAATCCAGGCTGACCTGAGCAAGGAGGGTGGGCAGGACACAAAGAGAAAGGTTATTCTGGTGGATTGTCCATCAAGGGAGATGGGACTAGTGGTTAAAGTTAAGAAGCCAGGAGACGGTGAGTTCTAGTTCCAGTATTCTAATCCCGCCTTAGGCATGAAAGTCGGCTGGGTGATTTTGGATCAATCACCAGGAGATTGGGACTTCTAGTCCTGCCTTAGATATTAAAAAAGCTGGCTGGCTGGGTGACTTTGGACCAATCCCCAGGCGATTGGGAGTTCTAGTCCTGCCTTAGACATGAACGTCGGCTGGGTGACTTTGGACCAATCCCCAGGCGATTGGGAGTTCTAGTCCTGCCTTAGACATGAACGTCGGCTGGGTGACTTTGGACCAATCCCCAGGAGATTGAGAGTTCTAGTCCTGCCTTAGACATGAAAGTCGGCTGGGTGACTTTGGACCAATCATCAGGAGATGGTAAGTTCTAGTCCTGCCTTAGATATGAAAGCTGGCTGGCTGGGTGACTTTGGACCAATTCCCAGGAGATTGGGAGTTCTAGTCCTGCCTTAGACACGAAAGTCGGCTGGGTGACTTTGGACCAATTCCCAGGCGATTGGGAGTTCTAGTCCTGCCTTAGACATGAAAGTCGGCTGGGTGACTTTGGACCAATCCCCAGGAGATTGGGAGTTCTAGTCCTACCTTAGATATGAAAGCTGGCTGGGTGACTTTGGACCAATCCCCAGGCGATTGGGAGTTCTACTCCCGCCTTAGACATGAAAGCCAGCTGGGTGGCTTTGGGCTATTCCCTCTTTTTTCAGCCCGACCCCCCTCACAGGGTTGTTGTTGTGGGGAAAATAGAAGGAGGGAGACATTTGTCAAGAATTTTCTCCTTGGTTCTAGGTTGGATCTCTGTTTAATGATCTTCTACCTGTTAGTTCTTGTTCTGCCCTCAGAGGCTTTGGACAATAAGTCTATCCCCTCTTCTTTGTGATAGACACTCAAACTTTGTATGACAGCTATCATGTCATCCCTAATCCTTCTCTTTGTTAGGCTAGACATACCCAGTTCCCTCACTCGTTCATCATACAATTTAACCTCCAGATTCCTTATTTATTTATTTATGTATTTTTCTCATATTTATACAGTGTATATTGGAGGTGGGGACCCTTTGAGAGCTGAATGCAACGGAACTTCTTTTTAATGTATGCTGATTAGTGTATATTCAAAGTGACAATGAAGTTATTATTCTATTCTACTCTACTCTACTCTATTCTATTATCTGTCTATTCTATTCTACAATCTGTCTATTCTATTCTACAATCTGTCTATTCTATTCTATTCTATTCTATTATCTTTCTATTCCTATTCTATTCTATTCTCTATTTTCTATTCTATTCTCTATTTTCTATTCTATTCTATTCTCTATTGTATTGTATTGTATTCTGTTGTATTGTATTGTATTCTATTCTCTATTCTATTCTATTCTATTCTCTATTTTCTATTGTATTGTATTCTGTTGTATTCTATTCTATTCTGTTCTGTTCTACAATCTGTCTTTTCTATCCTATCCTATCCTACCCTACCCTATCCTATCCTATCCTATCCTATCCTATCCTTGCTGCTCTTCTCTGCACTCTTTTCTAGGATCTCAGCATCTTTTTTGTTATCATGGTGACTAGAACTGGACCCAGTACAGCTAGGGTCTGAAAGCTCAAAAGAGTAAACCTCTGATCCCAGTGACCGATCCAGGTTGGATCTTGCAACATTATCATGGGTGCATGTATATACGCCTTCATTCCTGAATTAAAATCGGTATCTGAAATTGGTACCCGAAACATTTTAGAGTGCTGGAATAAAATACGAAATGAAATACCTCCTTGGGAGAAAGGATGGAGATGTAATCTTCATAGATCATCCGTGCTTTCTCATCAATGTCATGTTTTTTGCATTCGCTTTTGAGTTCCTCGCACGCTAACCAAAAGAGCATGTTTTCTTCGCTGTATTCAGTCCGTAAGAATTCCCGAAACACGTTCCTGCCAGCTGGATTTTTCATCAACTTGTCAAATGACTGGGACCAGCCCTTGACTTCTTCGGTGGTCGGTTTGGTGCTGAAGCCACCAGGGACACAATCCAGCAGAAACAAAGAAAGGCAGAGTGAGTCACAGTGGAAAGAAGAGGAGAGAAGGAGGAAGAGGTATGTTATTGGAGTAACATCTCAGTAATACTTACACACTATTTGTATTGGCAGCTTTAAGACCTTCAACAGTTGAGGTCAACTTCAACAGTTGAAGTCCACACATCTCAACTCAACCAATTCAACTCAACAGTTGAAGTTGTCTTCAGGAGTTGAAGTCCACACATCTCAACTCAACCAATTTGACTCAACAGTTGAGGTCAACTTCAAGAGTTGAAGTCCACACATCTCAACTCAACCAATTCAACGCAACATTTGAAGTCGTCTTCAAGAGTTGAAGTCCACACATCTCAACTCAACCAATTCGACTCAACAGTTGAGGTCAACTTCAAGAGTTGAAGTCCACACATCTCATCTCAACCAATTCAACTCAACAGTTGAAGTCGTCTTCAAGAGTTGAAGTCCACACATCTCAACTCAACCAATTCGACTCAACAGTTGAGGTCAACTTCAAGAGTTGAAGTCCACACATCTTAACTCAACCAATTCAACTCAACAGTTGAAGTTGTCTTTAAGCGTTGAAGTCTACACATCTCAAGTCAACCAATTCAACTCAACAATTGAGGTCGTCTTCAACAGCTGAAGTCCACACATCTCATCTCAACTCAACCCAATCAAAGTCAACAGGTGAAGTCAACTCAACAGTTGAAGTCAACAGGTGAAGTCAACTTCAACAGTTGAAGTCCATGTGTCTTAAAATTGACACGTTTGAGAAGACATTGTTGTAGATCTTTCATGCTCCTTTGCAGGAGGCTCTTAAAAAACAACTTACAGATAGCCTTCGACTTACAGCTGTTCATTAAATGACCATTCAGAGTTATAAAGGCATCGAAAAAAAAGTGACTCATGACTGTGACTCACACGATCATCACAATATCCCCAGTCATGTGATCAAAATTCAAATGCTTCGCAAGCAGCATGTATTCACAATGATTGCAGCATTAAGATCACTATTTGTGATCTCCCCAGTTGGCTTCTGACAAGCAAAGTCAATAGGGACAGCTGAATTTGCTTAGAAACTGTGTGATCCACTCAACGATTATTTTTAACCAGGTTTTATAACCAAGCGTCGCCTGGCATTAACTCAATGCCTTTTCATGGAGGGTGGAACGTTTCTTGCTTGCTAAAATCCTTCTAAAAGGAAGAAACCTGAGAATTTTTGCATCAGGAATCTGAGTTGCATAATCAACGACTTCCAAATTTGATGGGGGGGGGGGGAAGCAGTGTGTATTCTCGTAATCTTTCATGAAAGGGAAATCGGAGCAAAATCTAAATTTGCACTGGATGTCGAGAAATAAATTAGGTCCGTGAAGTGCTTTGACCTACCTTGGGCATCTCACTATACCCTTTGGCAGCTCCTTAATGAGGGAACGACCTTGAAAGACAGGTGGAGGACCCTCAGACTAGGCAACAGTCAGATAAGAGGCTAAAACAGTGATGGCGAACCTTTTAGAGACCGAGTGCCCAAACTGCAACCCAAAACCCACTTATGCATCGTCAGGTGCCGGGTGGGTGTGGGCCCATTGGGTGGGCGTGGCTGCAGTGGTAACGGCAGACTGGGTGGGACTAAAAAGTTCAATCAATCAATTCCAACTTTGCAAGATCTTTTTTGTTCCTGCGAGAAGTTGAAATTGATTGACTGATTGAACTTTTTTTTTGCACATGGCGGTGGAGGCCTAAAGTGAAAAGGTTTTATAAAACCCAGCTGAAGGCCTAGGACTGGGGCGACGGCGCGCATGCCCACAGAGAGGGCTCTAAGTGCCGCCTCTGGCACCCGTGCCATAGGTTCNAGCCCCCTCTGTGGGCACGCGCGCCGTCGCCCCAGTCCTAGGCCTTCAGCTGGGTTTTATAAAACCTTTTCACTTTAGGCCTCCGCCGCCATGTGCAAAAAAAAAAAAGGTTCAATCAGTCAATTTCAACTTCTCGCAGGAACAAAAAAGAACTTGCAAAGTTGGAATTGATTGATTGAACTTTTTAGTCCCACCCAGTCTGCCGTTACCACTGAAGCCACGCCCAGCCAATGGGCCACGCCCAGCCAATGGGCCACACCCAGCCAATGGGCCGCACCCACCCGGCACCCGACGATGCATAAGTGGGTTTTGGGTTGCAGTTTGGGCACTCGGTCTCTAAAAGGTTCGCCATCACTGGTCTAGTTTAATGAAGAGAAGGATGAGGGGGGACATGATAGCCGTGTTCCAATATCTCAGGGGCTGCCCCAAAGAAGAGGGAGTCAAACTATTCTCCAAAGCGCCTGAAGGCAGGACAAGAAGCAACGGATGGAAACTAACCAAGGAGAGAAGCAACCTAGAACTAAGGAGAAACTTCCTGACAGTTAGAACAATTAACCAGTGGAACAACCTGCCTCCAGAAGTGGTGAATGCTCCAACACTGGAAGTTTTTAAGAAGAGACTGGACAGCCATTTGTCTAAAATGGTGTAGTAGGGTTTCCTGCCTGAGCAGTGGGTTGAACTAGATGACCTCCAAGGTCCCTTCCAACTTTATTATTATTATTATTATTATTAAGAGGCAGCCGAGCCCACAGAAGTAAAAGGGATGTGCAAACATTTCAGGAGGGACCCTCCCTAGTTTCTTGGGATGTAAAGTTGGGGGGGGGAGATGTATTTTGAGACCTGCAAGATTCTGTTAATTTAACCTTATAATGAACTTAGTAGTATAGGTACTCCTCGACTTACAACAGTTCACTTAGTGACCGTCCAAAGTTACAACGGCACTGGAAAAAAAGGGACTCACGGCCGTTTTTCACACGACTGCTGCAGCGTCCCCTTATGGTCACGTGATCAAAGTTCAGACGCTCGGCAACTGGCATGTACCTATGACGGTTGCAGCGTCCCCGGCGGCAGGTGATCCCCTTTGGCCACCTTCTGACAAGCAAAGTCAATGGGAGAAGCTGGGTTCAACTTAAACAACCGTGATACCGACTTTAACCCCTGCAGGGATTTACTTTGACAACCATGGCAAGGAAGGTTGTAAAATGGGTCAAAACTCCCTTAACGACTGTCTCGCTCAGTGAGGGAAATTCGGGGATGCCATTGTGGTCGTACGTGGAGGACTACCCGACTGCTGTGATTCTTCGCCAGCCAGTGGACCCGGCAGCTGAGTCTGGGAAATCAGAGGAGGAGGAGGAGCTCCAAGACTTACAATCTGACGAGGAGCCTGGCCCCTCTACTCACGCTCAGGCTGAGACACAGCTGTGCTGGGAGCCTGAGTCAGACTGTGAGGACTCACAGCTGGAAAACATCATAGATCAGTGGTGGCGAACCTATGGCACGTGTGCCCGAGGCGGCACGCAGAGCCCTCTCTGTGGGCACGCGCCATCGCTCCAGCACACGTGGTCTCTAAAAGTTCGCCATCACTGGCCTAAGGTCAGCCAGCCTGAAGCTGCCATTCGGGACCCCACCATCCCACCCGCCAGAGACCCCCTGGATCTCCCCCAACCCTGCCCGGCTCCCACAGGTGTCCATCCCCATAAGCAACATCGAGGTGGCCACGCCCACCCCGGCCATGCCCACCCAGTCTGCCACAACCACTGCAGCCACACCCATCCAGTGGCCACGCCCACCCAGTCTGCCACACCCACTGTAGCCACACTCATCCAGTGGCCACGCCCACCCAATCTGCCATGACTACTGCAGCCACACCCATCCAGTGGCCACGCCCACCCAATCTGCCATGACTACTGCAGCCGCACCCATCCAGTGGCCACGCCCACCCAGTCTGCCAAGCCCACTGTAGCTGCGCCCGCCGAGTGGGCCACAGCCACCCAGCACCCGGCGATACATAAGTGGGTTTTGGGTTGCAGTTTGGGCACTCAGTCTCTAAAAGGTTCGCCATCACTGGTATAGGGTTTCCTGCCTGAGCAGGGAGTTGGACTAGATGACCTCCAAGGTCCCTTCCAACTTTATTATTATTATTAGTTCCTCGTTCAGTGTATTCTGTGAACTTCAATGAAAAGCTTTACATAGGTCAGATGTACATCCTTGTTCTCCCTGCTTCTCTTTTTCTGCATAACAACAGCCCTGCGAGGTAGATTGGGAGGGAGGGAGAGAGAGAGAGAGAGAGAGAGAGAGAGAGAGAGGCAACTCTCTTTCCGCCACTCTTTGTCTCCACCTCCCGGCTCACATTCCCGAGAGCCCCACACTCTTGCCAGCCATTTCCCAAAGCATTTTCCCCTCCCCAATCCAATGGGAAGGAAAGGAGACCACGCAGAATGCCTCTCCCAGCGCTAAACTTCATTAACGGACAGGGCTGCGGGGAAAGGGGGAGAATTCACCCCAATTCAACCCTCCTCGGATCTCCGCTGGTGGGCGAGCGGGAGCGCACGCACAAACCCACCCTGTCATAGATGCTCGCAAACGCCGACAGGCAATGAGAGTAGGACAGAGGAATGCAATGGGGCGGCTCCAAAGGCAAAGGAGAGGGCATTAGGAAGCCACGCCTTGGGCTGCATAATAAAAGGGAAGGTGTGGGAGGTGCTGGTTGCCGAAGGCAATCTATTTGTGTTGAGGATCGAGTTTCAGTGAATTGTGTTTTGTTTGCTTTTGCCTTTGGACATTTTACTCAGGTCTGTAAAATAATAAAAGGGGTTTTGTTTTCCTGCGGTTCCAGCCTGCTTGTTGGAAGAGGGGTTTCTCCTTGTGAGTAGGTTGGGAGAGAACACCGACTGCCTGTAGGTTGAAGAGACCCCAGAATGACTCTGCAAGAAAGGTCGTAAAATGGGGCAAAACTCGCTTAAAACAAATTTCTCACTTAGCAACTGCGGTCGTAAAGTCGAGGACTAGCTGTACTGCAAGCGTTGCAAAAAAAAAAAAAAAAAAAAAGGTAAAACTCACCAGGATTCACAGTTGGGAATGGTCTCCAATTTGGTTTCGCGAGATGCTCTCCAGGCCCTCTCCCGGTCTTCATTCCTAACGGCAGGGGGGGGGGGGGAGAAGGGGAGAAAATGAGAATTTTCTGAAGATCTGAATCAAAAACCACGGCTTTATAAATTTCAGATAGTCCTTTGACTTGCAACTTTTTATTTAGTGACTGTTTGAAGTTACAACGGCACTGAGGGAAAAAAAATGACCGTTTTTTTCCCCCACACTTAAAACCACGGCAGCCCTCGCATGTGATCAAAATTCACACGCTCGGCAACCGGCTCCTATTTATGACGGCTGCAATCGTCCCCGGGATCACGTGATCCCCTTTTGCGACCTTCTGATGGGCAAAGTCAGCGGGGGAAGCCGGATTCACTTAACAACAGGATTCCTAACTTTATAACTGTAGTGATCCACTTCCCAACTTGCGGCAAGAAAGAACGTAAAAGGGGGCAAAATTCACGCGAGTGTCGTCTCGTTTAGCGACTGAAATTTTTGCACAATTGTCCCCCTAAGTTGAGCACTACAATAGTGGCCAAAATTGTGGAAACTTTTTGGGAAAAGTGCATTTTTGAGGTTTGATGGCTAATAATACTCCTTTTTTGGGGGAATAGTACCATAAAATTATATATCAAAGGAAAGATAATTTAATCAAAAATGTAATGCAACATAGTTGGTTCAATTATCTGTACTGTATTCTATGAAAAGTTATAGCCAAATAACCAGAAAAAGGAAGCACAACTTGCTTAGGTTGATCTCAGGTAGCTTTCCTTCATCTGACTGTAGCCAATGAGCATGAGTGTTTAGAGAACCAATCGGGTGTCGTCTTGTTTTGGCACTGAGCCAATCAGATCACAGTAGGATCCAGTTATTGATGTCCTGTATTGAAGCCGAGAGGAGGACATTTGTCAGTGTGTTATGTGATGGCTATCAAGTTGGTTGGGGTTTTTTTTGTGTTCTTTCATTGAGTGAGCTTGTAAAACATAATAAAATTAAAGTCATGGTGCAAAGAGTTGACTGGTCACCCAGAAAGCAATGTAAAATAGTATTGTTAAGTGAACAAGGCTACAGTTATAAAGAAATTAGAAGAAAAATGGGTGGAAACTTAATCAAAGGTGGCATTTCTACTGTACACTTTTCCCAAAAGGTTTCCGCAATTTTGGCCACTACTGTAATTGTACGACTATATTTTAAAGCGTTCAAGTGAGGCCGTTTGGTGTAGTGGTTACAGCCTCACAGCAAGAAACCAGGAGACTGTGAGTTTTAGTCCTGCTTTAAGGCTGGGGAATTCTGGGAGTTGAAGCCCACCCAGCCTCAAAGCCGCCATGTTTGAACAACGCGGGCCTAAGTGAAGGATCCCTCAAGCAATTAGCAGACCGCAAGGAAGGGAAGACCATGTTGTCACCGGCACTTCGGTTTTCTTGGGATGATTAATAGCAAGATCAACCACAAAGCAATCCAGTGAAGTTGCAAAAACCGTTGAAAATGAGAGAATCAAATTCGAAAAAGACCAGAGGACGTTGCTGAATTAGCAAAGGGAAAAATCAAACATTGCAGGCAAAGCATTATTTATACCCAGATTCCCCAGATTGCTAATTGTGAAAAAAAAACCTGAGAATAATTAATTGTCTGCAAATGGAATCAGAATTAACAGGGTGATCTGGCTCCCAGTGGGTTTTTTTTTTTTTTTTTGCCTGAGTTTTGAATTTCCATCTGGTTTGATTTGACCAGTAGATGTCAGGACTCCCTCAGTGTTTAATGAGCCAGAAGACTAAACAGAACTTGAAATTCTACAGCAGGGGTCTTCAAACGTGGCCCTTTTATGACTTGTGGACTTCAACTCCCAGAATTCCTCAGTCAGGCACGCGTGCCTGGCTGAGGAATTCTGGGAGTTGAAGTCCACAAGTCATAAAAGGGCCAAGTTTGAAGACCCCTGGTCTAGAGATAGGAGAACATTTCCACTCGCATTGTCAAGTAAAGTTAGTTAGTCCTCAATTTATAACAGTAGTTGAGTGAGCGTTTGAAGTTACTAGTACTGCTTTATAAAGCCTTACTGGGACCATATCTGGAATACTGCAACCAGTTTTGGTCACCACATTATAAAAAAGATGCAGATACTCTGGAAAGAGTGCAGAGAAGAACAACTAAGATGATTAGGGGACTGGAGGCTAAAATATACCAAGAATGGCTGCAAGAACTGGGCATGGCTAGTTTAATGAAAAGAAGACTAGGGGTGACACGATAGCAACCTTCCAACATTTTAGGGGCTGCCACAAAGAAGAGGGGGTCAACTTATTTTCCAAGAAGGCAAGACAAGACCAGAAGGTAAGACAAGAAACAATGGATGGGAAGTAATCAAGGGGAGAAGCAACCTGGAATTAAAGAGAAACTTCTTATCAACGGGAACAATTAATCAGTGGAAGAAGTTGCCTCCAGAAGTTGTGGGAGCTCCATCACTGAAGGCTTTTAAGAGGAGATTGGACAACCATTTGTCTGAAATGGTCCAGTCCAGGGGTCTTCAAATCTGGCCCTTTGATGACTTGTGGACTTCAACTCCCAGAATTCCTCAGTCAGGAACTCTGGCTGAGAAATTCTGGGAGTTGAAGTCCACAAGTCATCAAAGGGCCAAGTGTGAAGACCCCTGTTTTAAAGAGTTTCTAAAAACTTTAAGGCAGGGGTCTGCAACTTTGACAACTTTTAAGATTTGTGGACTTCAGCTTCCAGAATTCCTCAGTCAGGCACTCTGGCTGAGGAATTCTGGGAGTTGAAGTCCACAAGTCATCAAAGGGCCAAGTGTGAAGACCCCTGCCGTAGCCCTATCTGCTAGCCCCATCAGCTTTTGCAGCCATTCATCCACAGCGGGAATCAAAGCATCTTCCCATTTTTTTTGTACCTAAAGTAATCCTGCTGCCGTCAACAACATATACAACACCATCCGATCTAGCATTTCCTTGCTACGGAAAAATGCTATTTATGAGGATTCAGACTTAAAAGCCAGGGACAGGAGACGGGATGAAATGCACGCTGAGCTAGGAAATGATGGCATTTCTTAGAAAAGCCCACAAACAAATTAGTCACGTTAGACCCGGGTGCACACGCAGAATATGGGACGCACTTTGTAAAGCGCAAACAGGAGACGCCATCTGTACACGATGGTGTTTAGACTCACTTGGTTAAATGCTCCAGGCAGCCTCCACAAATAAACACCACTTAAAGCCCAGAACAGAACTGGCTCTCTATTTCTATCCAGCCCTGGGCAGAGGCTAAAAACTAAGAGCTGTTCCTTGCAGCTCGTAGTTTTGCGCTGTGCGCGATGACTACTGTGGTCTCACCCTGTAACTGTGGTCTTCCGATTTGCTAGTGAGAGTTGTAAAGGGTTTGGTTCTGGGGTGGGGGTGGGGGATGGGGGTACACTGTCTGCGCTTTTTGCCACTTCCGGAAAGCAACTGGTATTTTGCATAATGCATAATGGTATTTTTTTTTTTGAGAGCGGAATGCAACCAAGTTTCATTTTAATGTAGGTGGATTAGTGTACGTTTAAAGTGACAAAAATCTATTCCATTCCATATTTTCTATTCTTTTCTGTTCTCTATTCTGTTCTATTCCATATATTCTATTCTTTCTCTATTTATTCTATTCTTTCTCTATTCTATTCTATTTTCTATTCTATTCTACTCTACTCTACTCTATAGTCTATTCTATTCTATTCTTTCTCTATTCTATTCTATTCTATTCTATTCTATTCTATTCTATTCTTTCTCTATTCTATTCTATTTATTCTATTATATTCTACTCTATTTTCTATTCTATTCTATTTTATTCTTTCTCTATTCTATTCTTTATTCTATTCCATTCCATTCCATTCTTTCTCCTATTCTATTCTATTTTCTATTCTATTCTACTCTACTCTATGGTCTATTCTATTCTATTCTTTCTATTCTATTATTTCTCTATTCTATTCTATTCATTCTATTCTACTCTATTTTCTATTCTATTCTATTTAATTCTTTCTCTATTCAATTTTCTATTCTATTCTACTCTATATTCTATTCTATTCTTTCTCTATTGTATTCTATTTATTCTATTCTACTCTATTTTATTCTTTCTCTATTCTAATTCTAATTCTAATTCTAATTCTATTCTATTCTATTCTACCCACTGGCCCTCTTCTCCTTGCTCAGGAGCAGGGGAGAGTTAGAAAAAATATACACAGTTGGTCTGTGACTTACTACTATAGCGAAACCTAGAGTTTCCATTGTAAGTCATGGTCATAAGTTGAGGCACCCGTGTGATCGGAGCTGATCTTATGACTTTTTTTTGCAGTGGTTAAGTGAATGTCATGGTCGTTAAGTCAGCCCTTTTATTCCTATCAGGATATTTTTTTCCAGAGGGCTGGAAACTGACAAAACCCTTTGTAAGTGGTGGTCACATGTCTGTGGAATGCTGCAACTACCTTAAAGGTGGGTCCGTTGTGAAGCCCCCCAAATGCGTTCACGTCAGTGTGTGTGTGTAGCTTTTGCAACTTGAGAACCTGCTCTAAGTAGCTTTGGGGGGAGGGTCTGTAATAACTTTGAACAGTTACTAAGTGACCGGTCGTTAAGTGAGGACTACTTATAAGGCCTCCTGAATGCGAACAAGCATAGATAGTCCTCAACTTGCCACAATTTGTTTAGTGACCTTTCAAAATTACAACGGCACTGAGGAAAGGGACTTTTCACACTTACAACCGTGGCAGCCTCCCCCAGGGTCATGTGACCAAAATCCAGGCACTTAGCAACTGACCCCTATTTATGACGGTCGCATTGTCCCAGGTTACATGATCTCCTTTTCGTGACCTTCTGACAAGCAATGGGGGAAGCCCGGTTCACTTAACAACCGGGCTGCTACTTTAACAACTGCCGCGATTCACTTAACAACTGTGGCAAGAACGGTCGTAAAATGGGAGCAAAACTCACTTGACCACTGCCCTGCTTAGCAACGGGAATTTTGGGCTTGACGGCGGTCCTAAGTCAAGGACGCTCTGTAGTTTCATGGTGCAGTCCTATCGGCTTAGCACAGTGATCAAATATTTCATTTTTTAAAAAAAACATTTCTACCAAAGAACACTTTGGAAGCATACCTTCGTTGGACTTCCTGGGTTTGGCAGCACATGGGAATGCTCGTTAAACGCTCACTAGCCCTTGCGCCTTAAAGCAGAGCGTATTTTGCAAATCATCTGGAAGACGGGTTTCGTGCCTCTTGCGAATACAACACTTCCCTGCCAGCTACTCTGGACAGCCTGGGGTGGTGGAACAAGGTTGCTGGAATTGGGTATGTCTAGTTTAATGAAGAGAAGGACGAGGGGGGACATGATAGCAGTCTTCCAGTATCTCAGGGGCTGCCCCAAAGAAGAGGGAGTCAAGCTATTCTCCAAAGCGCCCGAAGGCAGGACAAGAAGCAACGGGTGGAAACTAATCAAGGAGAGAAGCAACCTAGAATTAAGGAGAAACTTCCTGACAGTGAGAACAATTAACCAGTGGAACAACCTGCCTCCAGAAGCGGTGAATGCTCCAACACTGGAAGTTTTTAAGAAGAGACTGGACAGCCATTTGTCTGAAATGGTATAGGGTTCCTGCCTGAGCAGGGGGTTGGACTAGATGACCTCTAAGATCCCTTCCAACTTTATTATTATTATTATTATTATTATTATTATTATTATTATTATTATCATCATCATCATCATCATCATCATTATTAAGAGAAGGCATAGCCATTTTCAAGAACTACGCTAAGTTTAAAGAGACGGTTCATTAAAGCAGCAGCATCTTTTTTCTCTCCCAAGCTCAACTGAGCATCTGCAAAAGATCCGGCTGCTTTATAGGATCAGAGTGGAACTCATTAGTACAGGTACCGGTAGTTCCTCCACTTATGATTGTAGCGGGGCTTGCCCATCACGGTCGTTATAAGTCAGTGGTGGCGAACCTACGGCACGGGTGCCAGAGGCGGCACTCAGAGCCCTCTCTGTGGGCACGTGCGCCATCGCCCCAGTCCTAGGCCTTCAGCTGGGTTTTATAAAACCTTTTCGCTTTAGGCCTCCGACGCCGTGTGCAAAAAAAAAAGGTTCAATTAATGAGTCAATTTCAACTTCTCGCAGGAAAAAAAAAAGAACTTGCAAAGTTGGAATTGATTGATTGAACTTTTTAGTCCCACCCAGTCTGCCGTTACCACCGCAGCCACGTCCACTCAATGGGGCATGCCCACCCGGCACCCGACAATGCATAAGTGGGTTTGGGGTTGCAGTTTGGGCACTCACTCTCTAAAAGGTTCGCCATCACTGTTATAAGTTGTGAGGGTTGTAAAACAGGTCATCTACTTGACCGATCTGATTTTACAACTTCTTTTTGCAGTGGTGGTTTCGCAAACACTGCAGCTCTTAAGCGAACGAACGGTTCGCCACGGGCCAGTTTGGCCGAAAATAGAAGCAAAGGGTGGTTTTCGACAAAACTGTTGTAAAAGGTTGTCACATGGCTGTGGGACCCTGGAAACAAGACATAAATGTGGGTTGGATGCTGAGTGCCTGACGTTCAGTCATGCAACTATGTGTGTGTGAGAGAAAGAGAGAAAGAAAAAGAGAAAGAGAAAAGAAAGGAAGGAAGAAGGAAAGAAAGGAAGGAAGAAAGGAAGGAAAGAAAAGTAGAAGGAAAGGAAAGGAAGAAAAGTGGGAGGGAAGGAAAAGAAAGAAAGAAAAGTGTGAGGGAAGGAAAGGAAAGAAATAGAAAGGAAAGAAAGAAAAGTGGAAGGGAAGGAAAGGAAAGGAAAAAAAAGTGGGAGGGAAGGGAAGGAAAAGAAAAATAGAAAGGGAAGGAAAGGAAGAAAGTGGGAGGGAAGGAAAGGAAAGGAAAAGAAAAATAGAAAGGGAAGGAAAGGAAGAAAAGTGGAAGGGAAGGAAAGGAAAGAAATAGAAGGGAAAGGAAGAAAAGTGGGAGGAAAGGAAAGGAAAGGAAAAGAAAAATAGAAAGGGAAGGAAAGGAAGAAAAGTGGAAGGGAAGGGAAGGAAAGGAAAGGAAGAAAAGTGCAAGGGAAGGAAAGGAAAGAAATAGAAGGGAAAGGAAGAAAAGTGGGAGGAAAGGAAAGGAAAGGAAGAAAAGTGGGAGGGAAGGGAAGGGAAAGATGGGATGGATTCTGGCCATCAGAATCACATCATAAGTAACCCCGGAGAGGTCCATCATTACGTTAAGCATTCAGTAAGCCATCGTCATAAGTCTAGCACTACTTGCAAAGAACGCAGAGTCCTGGCAGAGGTGTGAAGCCGTGCAGGTGTGCCCCTGTGCCTGTGTATAGAAGAAGCAGACCGGATGCCAGGAAAGAACCAAAGTCCCCCCCCCCACCGCCTCCTTCCTGTAGGAGGCACCTACCAGGAGCAGCTGCAACAGCAGCACCAGCACAGGCAGCAGGGGTTGGCCCGTCGGTGGTTGCTGGCCCTCCGCAGTGCAGCCGGAGACGTCTCATGCTGGGACATTGGAAGTGGTCTGTCCTGGTACGGCGGTTCTGGGTACTGGAAAGGGGAGGAGCCAAAGAGAGAGGGTGAGGAACAAGCCATCTTTGGCCAGCAGACCCGGCGGGAGGTCCTGCAGAGAACCTTCCTTCCTTCCTTCCTTCCCCCCTCCCTCCCTCGCTTCCCTTCTTTCTTTTTTTCATTCATCCATTCATTCTCTCATTCACTCACCGATTCATTCTCTCATTCATTGATCGATCCATTCATTCATTCAATCAATCCATCAACAGATATTGAGCCGTGGTGGCGCAGTGGTTAGAAGGCAGTATTGCAGGCTACAATCTGCCCACTGCCAGCAGTTCGATCCTGACCGGCTCAAGGTTGGCTCAGCCTTCCATCCTTCGGAGGTCGGCAAAATTAGGATCCAGATTGTTGGGGGCAATAATGGTGACTCTGTAAAACGCCTAGAGAGGGCTGTAGAGCACTATGGGGCAGTATATAAATCATTCACTCACCGATTCATTCTCTCATTCATTGATCGATCCATTCATTCATTCATTCATTCAATCCATCAACAGATATAGAGCCGTGGTGGCGCAGTGGTTAGAAGGCAGAACTGCAGGCTAAAATCTGCCGACTGCCAGTAGTTCGATCCTGACCGACTCAAGGTTGGCTCAGCCTTCCATCCTTCCGAGGTCGGCAAACTGAGGACCCAGATTGTTGGGGGCAATAATGCTGACTCTGTAAAACTCTTAGAGAGGGCTGTAGAGGATTACAGGGCAGTATATAAACCTAAGCGCTAATGATATTCTCATTCATTCATCCCCATGGGTCACGCGATCAAAACTTGGGGGGGAGGGAACTTGGCAACTGACCTGTATTTACGACGGTTGCATTGTCCCGGGGTCATGTGATCACCATCCCAGCCAGCTTCCGACAAGGAAAATCAATGGGGGAGGGGAAGGCAGCTTTGCTTAACGGCCGCATGATTCACTTAACAACCGCAGTGATTTGCTTAACAACCGTGACAAAAATGATCTTAAAAACGGGGCAAAACTCCCTTAACTTGGCAACAGAAGGTTTGGGCTCAATGGTGGACGTAAGTCAAGGACTACTAGAGTCTTTTCTTGGGTCAATGTGAGTTGATGGCCTACAACAGGGGTCCCCAATCCCCGGGCTGCAAACCCTTACCGGTCCAAAGCCTGTTGGAACCAGGTCATGCATCTACGGTAGTGTTTCTCAACCGTGACAATTTTAAGGCATGTGGACTTCAACTCCCAGAATTCCACAGCCAGCATTGCTGGCTGTGGAATTCTGGGAGTTGAAGTCCACATGCCTTAAAATTGTCAAGGTTGAGAAACACTGATCTACGGGATCTACAGTAGTGGCCAAAATTGTGGAAACCTTTTGGGAAAAGTATATTTTTGAGGTTTGATGGCTAATAACACCACTTTTGTTTTGGAGCAGTACCCTAAAATTATGTATCAATGGAAAGATAATTTAATCAAGAATGTAATGCAACAAAGTTTGTTCAATTATCTGTACTGTATTCTATGAAAAGTTATAGCCAAATAACCAGAAAAAGGAAGCACAACTGGCTTAAGTGGATCTCGGGTAGCTTTCCTTCATCCGATTGTAGCCAATGAGAATGAGTGTTTAGAGAGCCAATCGGGTGTCGTCTTGTTTTGGCAATGAGCCAATCAGATCACAGTAGGATTCAGTTATCGATCTCATGTATTGAAGCTGAGAGGAGGATATTTGTCAGTGTGTTGTGTGATGGCTATCAAGTCGGTTGGGTTTTTTTGTGTTCTTTCATCGAGTGAGCTTGTAAAACGTAATAAAATTAAAGTCATGGTGCAAAGAGTTGACTGGTCACCCAGAAAGCGATGGAAAATAGTATTGTGAAGTGAACAAGGCTACAGTTATAAATAAATTAGAAGAAAAATGGGTGGAAACTTAACCAAAAGTGGCATTTCTACTGTACAATTTTCCCAAAAGGTTTCCACAATTTTGGCCACTACTGCAGGTGGTGTGCGTGAAACTATTGCCCCCCCCTCCTGCCGCCCCCGTTGTCACCGGTCCGTGGAGCCAGCAAGGTTGGAGACCGCTGCCTTGCATGCAACAATTTGAAAATGCTATCCTGGTTTTGTGAATGACCGGCGTTAGGATCTGCCGCTTACCTGCTTCCCCACTTCGCAAACAGTCGGCATGGGCAGTCCTCTTCAGCCGTTCTGGCCCACGCCGGGTGCTTATTCGGTGCCCAAGGGCCGGCCAGACGTCCCCGTGGCCCCCGCCCGGCCTAGGGCAATTGCAGCTTAGGGAACAGCCCCTGCCGAAAGCAACAACATTGCTGTGGTTACAAGGACGTTCCCTGTGCTGGTCTTCCAAAGCCTCCAACACAATCAACATTAAGCATCGCATTAATTCACTGCAGCTTCAAGCATCCTTCTTCGTGAGGGCAATGCAGAGATTCTGAAGGAGAAGCCGACAAAAAGGCGGACAAATTGTGTGTTTAAAAACAATATATATATATATATATATAAAAAACCTCCCAAAATCTCACTTCACACTCTCTCCCACCCCAGGAAATCAAGTCTTCCTGCTTCACGGTTCCAATTTTTTTTTGGGAGCGCAGCTTCTTCAAAGATATTGAGGTGGTTAGAGGGGCAGTTAGGCCTGGGGCTGAAGGCGCCAGGCCAAAAAGTGGGAGACGGTGAATTTTAGTCCCGCTTTAGGCATGAACACGATTGGATGACCTTGGGACAGTCACCCTCTCTCAGTGTTAGGAAGAAGATGGCAAGGGCAAAGCACGTCTGAAATCCAGCCAAGAAAACTGCAGGAAAACTTCTCTCTCTCTCTCTCTCTCTTAGACCAGTGGAGACCAGCCCTCTTCCACCATCCAAGCTGCAAGGTTCGGATCTGAGCGTCCACAAAGGATCTACCAAGATTTCACGAACTCTTATCTCCAAACAGTTCAACGAGGTCTCCAGAAACCGCCAAAAAAATGTCTCCCTGAAAATTTAAGCACTGATGATGTTACCTAGTTGGGTTGTGAAAGGTCTGCAAGAAAACAACCCAACTCAGAGAGCACCAAGGACGCCACAGTCCTATTCCTCCTCCTCTCACTGATGATGTTCCCTAGTTTAGTAACGAAACGTCTGCAAGAAAACAACCCAACTCAGAGAGCACCAAGGACGCCACAGTACTATTCCTCTTCCTCCTCTTCCCACTGATGGTGTTCCCTAGTTTGGTAATGAAACGTCTGCAAGAAAACAACCCAACTCAGAGAGCACCAAGGACGCCATAGTACGATTCCTCTTCCTCCTCTTCCCACTGATGGTGTTCCCTAGTTTGGTAATGAAACGTCTGCAAGAAAACAACCAAGCTCAGAGAGCACCAAGGACGCCACAGTCCTATTCCTCCTCCTCTCACTGATGATGTTCCCTAGTTTAGTAACGAAACGTCTGCAAGAAAACAACCCAACTCAGAGAGCACCAAGGACGCCATAGTACGATTCCTCTTCCTCCTCTTCCCACTGATGGTGTTCCCTAGTTTGGTAATGAAACGTCTGCAAGAAAACAACCAAGCTCAGAGAGCACCAAGGACCCCACAGTCCTATTCCTCCTCCTGCTTGCAAACCCCACTTCCTTCTAGCACTGATGATGTTACCTAGTTAGGTCATGGAACGTCTGTAAGAAAACCACCAAGCTGAGAGAGCACCAAAGACCCCACAGTATCCTCCTACTGTCCACAAACCCCACTCCCCTCTAGCACTGATGATGTTACCTAGTTGGGTCATGGAACGTCTGATTTGCCAAAAGTTACTGATTTGCTAAAAGTTTGAATGTTCATAGATAACTAAGACTTGAATTTAAGAGATTGTCATGACTTGAGACACAGGTTAAATAAAACTTAGAAGTATAAATACTAATAATTAAATTCGTATATTGGCTTGGGGTATAAATGCTGATGGGTTTATTTTTTTTATTTTTTTTCTCTTTTTCTGCAAAGGAAGAAAGGAAGGAAGTAGCCCTAAATATGAGATAGGAGACTAAGAAATTGGGATCATTTAAAATCCGGAAATGATCAAGATTAAACGTTAAATTTAAATATCAATGCAAAATTAAAGTTAAGAAAAACTTATTGGGTTATTGTCTAAAAGATGGAATGTCAAATTAATTAAGATATGTATAGACTGAAGATTATTGATGAATACTAGAAAGGTATTTTTTGGTTTGATTGATAGAATAAGAACTGTATTGATCTGAATATGGCAGTAGATCTTATGGGGGAAAGAGAGGGAATATGAGTTGTTGTAATACTTTGAGATTTGTTACTGATGATATTCAAATGTAATGGAATTACGATGCTCAACCGCCACGCTACTTTTCAAATGTCAATGTAATATTGGAAAATTAATAAAAAACTTGGGCATGAAAAAAAGAAAAAGAAAACAACCCCACTCAGAGAGCACCAAGGGCCCCTAATTAAAGCATTATTACAGCACTGATCCAGTTCATTCAGCTATCATCCACCTTCCCAATTTTGTCACTGGATGTACCTTCAGCTGCCAAATGCAGCTTTGAAAGTCAAACTTTTATGTCCTGATACTTGTTTATGCTTTATGCACGCTGCGTTCTGTGCTTTCCCTTTCCTGCAAGATTCAAATACTGTGTCAAGACACAACGTATTTCATGGGTGACACTGAAGGATCCCAGGCTGCTCTCCTTCCCGTTTGTTTCTTTTGTCCTTTGTCAAGAAAGAGGAAGTCATGCAAAGGGCAGACGTCCGATTAGCACGTTCATCTTCTGAGACCGCCATGATCGGGAACGATTGGCTCAAAGATTAGAAATCTGATTGAAAATTAGAAGTTGAGCGAAGACGAAAAGAAAAAAAGTGATGCTGAGGAAACTGCCACAGAGAAGAGGGAGCCAAGCTATTCTCCAAAGCAGAAGAAGGCAGGACAAGAAGCAACGGATGGAAACTAATCAAGGAAAGAAGCAACCTGGAAGTAAAGAGAAACTTCCTATTTTCCAAAGCACCTGAAGGCAGGACAAGAAGCAACGGATGGAAACTAATCAAAGAGAGAAGCAACCGAGAACTAAGGAGAAACTTCCTAACAGTGAGAACAATCAATCAGTGGAACAACTTGCCTCCAGAAGTTGTGAGTGCTCCAATATTACAGGGTTTTTTTAAAGAAGAGATTGGACAACACTTTGTGTAAAATGGTACAGGGTCTCCTGCTTGAGCAAGGGGTTGGACTAGAAGACCTCCAAGGTCCCTTCCAACTCTGTGAAATTGGAAGGGCAGATCTTCGGCATCTTTAGGCAAAGGATGGTTGACTTTGGAGTAGAAAATCTTCAGGAATTCTGGGAATTGAAGTGCATGCATCTTAAAGTTGCCAAGGTTGAGAAACACTGATCTAGACCAGTGTTTATCAACCTTTGTTACTTTTAAAGATGCACGGACTTCAACTCCCAGAATTCTCCCGCCAGCATGGATGGCTGAGGAATTCTGGGAGTTGAGGTCTGTCCATCCATCTTAAAGTTGCCAAGGTTGCCTACCCCTGATCTAGACAGTTTAGTCCAGGAGTCTGCAACCTTGACAACTTTGAGACTTGTGGACTTCAGCTTCCAGAATTCCTCAGCCATCCATGCTGGTGGGAGAATTCTGGAGGTTGAAGTCCGTGAATCTTAAAGTCGCTATGCTGGCGGAGGAATTCTGGGAGCTGAAGTCCACAAGTCTTAAAGTTGTCAAGGTTGCAGAACCCTGGTTTAGTCTATAGTTAGTCCTTGACTTACAATCAATTTTTTAACATCGGTTGCAAGTTTCCCCACCACTGAAAAAGTCACTTACAACCGGTCCTCACATTTACGACCATGACAGCATCCTCAACGGTGGCCAAAAAAGGTCGTAAAATTGGGCGAAACTCACTCCACAACTATCTGACTCAAGTCACAGAAATCTGGGGCTGAATTGTGGACCCAAGTCAAGGGCTCGTTCTATTTCTTTTGCCTGTTTAAAATATAATGAATATAACATGAAGTTTCATACGATATGATTCCCCTGCAGCCGGGAAGAAAACAGATGGATTTTTGCATCAGCTTGTCTTATTTCATGGCTCCATTTTATCCAACGGGTTCCATTCAGCTATTCTGGGAACGGTTCCCAGATCTTGAGGTAAGCCTAGCTAGCCAAATAAGAGGTCAGTGCAGCTCTCTGCTCCACAGAGTTTGCTTAGACTCTTTTTTGGCTTTTTGAAACAATGAATACGAGTGCAACAATAATAAGAAAGTTTTTTTAACATCCCAGAGCAGATTCCAACTCTGAGGTTTCCTAATAGCCCCTCATACAAATATATATATACAACTGGGTCCCTTCCTGTTTAGTGTTTCAAAACTCCACAGCTCTCAGCCTACCCAGGTGGTCCAGGCTAGGAAACACAGCCAGAGTAATGAATTCTATTTTATTGTAAGGCTACATCAGGGGGAGGCAACCTTGGCTCTTTTATGACTCGTGGACTTCAACTCCCAGAATTCCTGAGCCAGCATGGCTCAGCTTGGAAACCTCTCCCTTTCCCCTCAGTATGGCTGGCTCAGGAATTACTACTACTACTACTACTACCACCACTACTATTACTACTATGATTGTTGTTGTTGTTGTTGTTGAAAGCTCTCCCTTTCCCCTCAGTATGGCTGGCTCAGGAATTACTACTACTACTACTACTACTACTACCACCACTACTATTACTACTATGATTGTTGTTGTTGTTATTATGATGATGATGATGATGATGATGATGATGTGGGTGACCCGCTTCACAATTATAACTTACAACTGTAATGGGCAGGCCCCATTATGGTCATCAGGTCAAGGACTACTTATATTGCAGGTGCAGGCACAGTCAAGATTTAAATCTCCACTCATAGCTCTATTTACACCTGGTGCTAGTGTCTACCACCCATTTTGGAAAAGCGGTGGGGTAGAAAAAAAAATCGCAATGGGGAGAACAAATATCCCATTTCTTCAAATGCTTGGGTGAAAAAAAAAGCTGTTTGTATTTTGATATTTTCAACTGTTGAATAATAATAATAATAATAATAATAATAATAATAATAATAATAATAATAATAATAATAATAATAATAATAATAATAATAATAATAATAATAATAATAATAATAATAATAATAATAATAATAATAATACGATGCTTGGAATCC